GGTTATGTACCACCTGTATATCATTTTCATAATATTCTCTCTTAAGGCATTACATGCCGTAAATTTCATACCTGTGGTCCACAACTGTTCCCAGTCAGCGAACATAATGTTATGTCCAACGTCTTGTGCCCATTTAATCATAGCCGATTTTACCGTTTCATCCTGAGTATTCCATTTCAGCAGCAAGTTATACATTCTTGACAAATTCTTAGTTTTGGGTTCTAACAGTTCAGTTTCTAATTTTGATTTTTCCACCTGGAAGCCAATTTTCTTGTCCAATTTAAATGCCTCCATTATCTGAAAATAATGAAGCCAGTCTCGCACTTTCTTTTTTAGTTTTTCAAAACTCTGCAGTTTCAGTCTATCTCCATCTTGTTCCAAAATTTCCCAATATTTCGGCCATTTGACCTCCATATTGAGCTTTTTCAAGGCTTTCGCTTCCATTGGTGACAGCCACCTTGGGGTTTTGTTTTCTAACAAATCCTTATATCTTATCCAAACATTAAACAGCGCTTTCCTGACAATATGGTTTTTAAATGCTTTATGTGCTTTGACCTTATCATACCATAGATATGCATGCCATCCAAATACACTGTTAAAACCTTCTAGGTCCAAAATGTCAGTGTTTTCAAGAAGTAGCCATTCTTTCAACCAGCAAAAAGCTGCTGATTCATAGTAAAGTTTAAGGTCTGGCAGGGCAAATCCACCTCTTTCCTTTACATCCGTTAGTATTTTAAATTTTATTCTGGGCTTCTTGCCCTGCCAGACAAATCTAGAAATATCTCTCTGCCACCTCTTGAAACAATCCATTCTGTCCACAATTTGCAAAGTTTGAAACAAAAACAACATTCTAGGCAATACATTCATTTTTATCGCAGCAATACGGCCCAGCAGTGAAAGCTTCAAATTTGACCAGATTTCTAAATCTTTTTTCACTTCAGCCCAACATTTTTCATAGTTATCTTTAAATAAATTCCCATTTTTTGCTGTCATGTTAATCCCCAGGTATTTAACTTTCTTAACCACTGTTAAACCTGTCTCATTCTGAAACCTCTCTCTTTCAATCGGTGTTAAATTTTTCTCTAAAACCTTAGTTTTTGACTTGTTCAATTTAAATCCTGCTACTTGACCAAATTCTTGAGTCGTCCCCTTCTCTTTGTGCCCTCCATCTTTCCCAACATCAGGGTCTTTTCCAGGGAGTCTTCTCTTCTCATGAGGTGGCCAAAGTATTGGAGCCTCAGCTTCAGGATCTGTCCTTCCAGTGAGCACTCAGGGCTGATTTCCTGCAGAATGGATAGGTTTGATCTTCTTGCAGTCCATGGGACTCTCAAGAGTCTCCTCCAGCACCAGAATTCAAAAGCAACAATTCTTCAGCGATCAGCCTTCTTTATGGTCCAGCTTTCACTTCCATACATCACTACTGGGAAAACCATAGCTTTAACTATACAGACCTTTGTCGGCAAGGTGACGTCTCTGCTTTTTAAGATGCTGTCTAGGTTTGTCATTGCTTTTTTCCCAAGAAGCAGGCGTCACCATCTGTCACCATCTGCAGTGATCATGGAGCCCAAGAAAGTAAAATCTCTCACTGCCTCCATTTCTTCCCCTTCTATTTGCCAGGAGGTGATGGGCCCAGTGGCCATGATCTTTGTTTTTTTGATGTTGAGCCTCAGACCATATTTTGCGCTCTCCTCTTTCACCCTCATTAAAAGGTTCTTTAATTCCTCCTCACTTTCTGCCATCAAGGTTGTATCACCTGCATATCTGAGGTTGTTGATATTTCCTCCAGCAATTTTAATTCTGGTTTGGGATTCATCCAACCCAGCCTTTCGCATGATGAATTCTGCATATAAGTTAAATAAGCAGGGAGTCGATCCACCTGGAGAAGGAACTGGAAAACCAATCCAGTATTTTGACAAGAACACTCCATGGATATAAAAAAGGAGAAGCTTTGAGAAGAAAGTGAGAGTTTCCAAGATATGCTCTGGTTCATGGAGTCACGGAGAGTCGAAAACGACTAAGACGACTAAGCAACAACAACAAAGCTCAAAACCAGCACTTTAAATTGGGCCCAGAAACTAATTGACAGCCGGTGCAATCGGGCCAGGATCGGTGTACTATGTTCTTGCCCTGGGGGTGGGGGGGTGAGCAACCCGGCCGCTGAATTTTGCACCAGCCGAACTTTCTGAACCATCTTCAGAGACAGCGTGTGGCAGTAATGTAGCCTAAAGGTTACCAGAACATAGGCAATTGTAGTTAGGCTACCCCTGCCTGGATAGGGGCACAGCTGGTTGTTTATCCCCCCCCATTGCCCAGGGTCAGGTTTCTGCTTCTTATAGGCCCCATCCTGATAACAGCTTTTGTCCAAGGGGATATTACCAGATCGATACGGCATGTTCCTGAATGCGCCTCAAAGCCAAGGGCCCTAGCAGATGATCGTTTCATTGTGCATGTCATGTTTAATAATCACAGGAGTTGCTGAAGGGGTTACATGCATATTAGTTAGTGCATCCACTATGGGGGGGAGGGGGGCTGTCTTTCCTCTAGCAAGAGAATCTGTTGCAGGGAAATGATTTCCACCCAGAATTCAAGACTCATTATACTAATGTTGGGTGGTGGTGATAATGCCATTCTTGCCCCAGCTAACGCATCCGGGGCTCTGACTGCTCTGCTTTGTGGCTCTAGGAAGGTCATGTTTGCATCTATTCCAGTAGCTTTTGTTTACTGTCATTTCTCTCCTTTCTTACTGCCACATGCTCATATAGCTTAACTAATGCCGTAGTTAGCATACTCTGCAAGCCCATCCTTTTATCCCTGGGGACGGATGTACGTGAGAGAACAACAATATTCCTGTTGAATTTGGCATGGGCAACGAGTTTCACGCACGCTATCTGGCCAAGGGACAATACGGATATGAAACAAGAGTTTCTTGATCCGAATTCCCCCACCCCACATCTCTCTCTCTCTCCCCCATGCACACACACAGAGATTAAGAGGAGCTGAATAGTCCAAGTTAGACAGGAGTAGTTGCATTGCGAGAGAGTAAGCGCAACCCTTTTCCATGCCTGACTTACCTGATCTAAACTGGTCCCTCCCAAGTTCTGCTGCCTATATTGTGTCTCTCTCCCCCCCTGCCCCAAGGGGTATTAATTGTAGCTATTGAGGGATTATTTCAAACAGAAACATGGTGCAGAGAAAAAGTGAATTACTCTTTCCCCAATACCATTGTTCAGTGCTTTCTTTTCTAAAAAAAAATGTTTAGGGGTACTCTCATTTTCCTACTCATATTGTGTTATGTACTGAAGTTCTCACCCTTGGCCAGCAGGGGGATACTGTAGATAGTTATGCAAATAAGGGATCGAAAGTGACATTCAGTGATTGGATAGTTTTAGAAAATTGTTACAGTTACGTTGTACTGGAGCTCTATATAAGCAGGCTGACTGAACCGTTCAGTTCAGTTCTGTTCTGGCCTGTGAATAAATAAGAGCTGTTTGAAGAATTGCTGTGTCGTCTGATATGTTCACCCACAACTTAACATATTGAAATACTGCCCCTCAATAAGGCCAAACTTAGATTCACAAAATGTTTAGGGGTATGCGTACCCCTGCGTTCCCCCAGAAAAAGCACTGCCATTGTTTCTATCAAAAGCTGAGTGTTTCTATTTTTATTATCATTATTCACGAGAGTTCTGGCCACAGCTCCCCTATATGGCATGAGGTTTGGTCCTCAGTAATCTATACAACAACCTGGCAAAACTGGCCAATACTGTTGTTCTTATTTTGCAAATGAGACAAGAGGCTGAGAGAATAGTAGCTGACCTGGTTCACAACTGAAGTAAGCTTTGAACTGAAGGCTTTCCTGGCTCCAGAGGGGTTTGCAATAGGTGCCAAATGGCAAACAAACCAGTGTGCACGCTGCCAGCACCTTGCGCAGCAAGATCTCTAGGCCCAGATTCCAGGTCCCAAGTTTGGGAGCTGTAAGAACATGTGCCCTAATGCAAGTTGCTGCAGGGATTTGTGTCGGAGTTACTATGGAGGCAGCATGTGCTGCCAAGGCAATTCAGCGATGCCAAAAGGCAGAGACGCAACTCCCTGACCTCTGAAACCTGACTCTTCAGACATGGAGCAATTTTTTAAAAATTACTGGCTAATCATGCCCTTAGGGCGCTATTTGTATTCCTGCACCTGCTGTCATGTTACCATGTCCTGCCCCAGTCTCGCTGCAGAGCTTGGATACGTTCTCAGATGATGGAAGGCAGTTTCCCAAGAATAAAGCAAACCCGGAGCTGTTTTCCTTGACCTGCAGTGACAGTTCAGTAATAGATTATGGCTGTTCTAGTACCTGCCTGCTGGCTGTATAATATATGGCTCAAGAGAAGGTGGGGGCAGCTTCTGCTGGCACACAGCACAAGGGAGAAGGCAGAAGAAATTGAAGAACTCTGCACTCCTGGCCATAGGAGAGGGAGCATGGGTAGCTGGCGAATTGTCTGAGCCAGAACTCCTACTAGATGCCAGCTGAATGATGGCTTTAACCGTAGTTATTTATAGAGGGGTTTAATATTATGCTGAGGACGGGATTCATGTGATTTCTGTAGTTTAATCAATTTCTTCCCTCTAACGTGGCTGTTTTCCATTAATCCCACTGATGGCGGATGGAGCAAGTTGACATTTTGTCACACATAACCACACACAGACCAATGTGATAACCATATATGGAGCCAGATCCCATTTTGATACACAAAGAAATATAGATCCCAGAAACAATGGCAGTCCAAAGGGGTGGTATTGCTATTATAATTGCTATTATAATTCTTATAGACTTTGATGTACATGGGACTTTATAAAGCTACACAAATAAAGCAGGTCTCTGTCCCGAGGAACTTGCATTCTAAATCCTAAGAGACTTGGGAGGAAAGGGAGAGGCAATAGTAATAAGGAACAATTATAGATATAGGTAGGTAGTCGTGTTGGTCTGCCGTAGTCGAAACAAAATTTTAAAAAATCCTTCCAGTAGCACCTGAGAGACCAACTAAGTTTGTTATTGGTATGAGCTTTTGTGTGCATGCACTCTTTTTTTCTTCTTTTCTATACTGTTTTCTTCTTACAAACTTAGTTGGTCTCTAAGGCGCTACTGGAAGGATTTTTTTTTATTTTGTAAGCAACAATTATGAATATGCAAGGCTTCTTAGGCTTAATTTCAGTCGTGCAGATTTTAGGCTTCACCAGTGGGGCGCAAGGACTCTAGACTGGTAAACCAAAAGACCCCTTGAGAAGGTAGATGGGTCCACATGGCTGCTAGCAGCTGTAGGACTACCACTGCACATTAGCAGGCCTGACCCTGTCATGAGTCACAGTGAGCCATGTTGCAAGAACAAGAAACCAGTGACAGCCATGGCCGCACTGCTCAGTCCCGTGCCACTGTCAACCAGCACCACAGGTGGGTCACGGACTGAACTACAGCAGCTGCCACACTTCAAATGGAAGAGAAAGCAAATGAGTGGTATCTCTGGTTACGAACTTAATTTGTTCTGGAGGTCCGTTCTCAACTCGAAACCGTTTTTAACCTGAGGTGTGCTTTTGCTAATGGGGTCTCCCGCTTCGCGCGTGCCTCTAGCACGCGATTTCCGCTCGCATCCTGGGGCAAAGTTCACAACCGGGAGCACCTACTTCTGGGTTAGCGGAGCTCGTAATCCGAAGCGTGCATAAGGAGGACGGTTCGTAACCAGAGGTATTACTATACTTCGTCGGATCTAGACTTCGTCGCCAAAGGCTTGAATGAGTCTCTTGAGAGTTGCGGCTTGCGCCCTGTGGTGCCGGCCACTTGGTACGTAAGTAGAGACTGCCAACAGAAGGGGGTGTGGTGGGCAGATGACCCTGCTTCAAGGCTGCCGTGTTGCCTCTTACAGATTCAAACACACTCTGCTTTCAAAGCAAATGATAAGCTTGAATGGAATAAAGGATTTACAGAGCTCTCTGCCTGTGGCGTCTTTCTCACCCCAGGCCAGAAGTGGTGGGCCTTGCTCTAAACTGCTTTCTGGCTACTCTCAGAAAGCTGAGCCCACTCAGACTGTATCCAGTGGCTCTTTCATATTTACAGAAGTTGCTTCTGCCTCAGGTGGCCAAATGCCTTGGATGGGTTCTGATACAGTGGTGCCTCGCAAGACGAAAAGAATCCGTTCCGCGAGTCTCTTCGTCTTGCGGGTTTTTTCGTCTTGCGAAGCAAGCCCATTAGCAGATTAGTGCTACAGTATTAGCGTCTTAGCGGGCTTAGTGGATCAGCTGATAAGCGGCTTAACGATAAGCTGATAAGCGGCTTAACGATCAGCTGATAAGCGGCTTAACGATAAACTGATAAGCGGCTTAAGGATCAGCTGATAAGCGGCTTAGCGGATCAGCTGTTAAGCGGCTTAGCCATCAGCTGATAAGCGGTTTAGCGGCTTGGGAAAAGGGGGGGGGGAAGGAAAAAAACCCGCAGGAACTCGCAAGACATTTTCGTCTTGCGAAGCAAGCAAATAGGAAATTCGTTTTGCGAAGCACCTCCAAAACGGAAAACCCTTTCGTCTAGCGGGTTTTCCGTCTTGCGAGGCATTCGTCTTGCGGGGCACCACTGTACCTAGTCTTCCCTGTGGCAAAAGTAGTACCATTTTCAATTTGAGATATTTCAGACCAATGCACACATGTTCCATACAAAAACGAGGTGACCTCTGTTCTGTCTCCTCAGAAATGCACACATAAATTGTTGCAAAGTATTGACTGAGGGACAGGAAGTATCTGCTGCAAAGTGCAAGTGTTTACCTGTCAGCTCAGGTAATGTTCCCAGTGAGAGCTGTAAGGAAAAAAGGAGGACATTAAGGCTCCAAGCAAGCAGACCTGCCCCTTTAGTCTTTATTTTTTTTAATATGATTTTTATTAAATTTTCTGCTTTACAATTTCAGGTAAACATTTTACATTCTTAAGATATCAATGACTTCCATTCTTCTCTTTCCACGGTTCATTCTGCATATCTTATATCCCTGAATATTTTGCAAAAACTATACCAATCGGTTTTCCATTATTATGGAATGGAATCCATCCTCCATCAAAACTTATTTACACTGTTGAATTTATCTTAATGCTGCCAGTGCCTTCAGCTGTACACAATTATTTTCCATATGTTCAACAAACCTTTTCCAATCTTCTTTAAATGTATGTTCTTCTTGTTCTCTGATTCTATATGTTAAGCCTGCAAGTTGTGCATATTCTGTCAACAAGTTGCCATTCTTCTTTGCTTGGGACGTCGCTCATTTTCCATTTTTGGGCTAGCCAAACATGGGCCGCAGTTGTTGCAGACATAAATAATGCCCCTTTAGGGCATTTCACTCCTCGAGGAAAAGGTAGAGCCAAAGAGGTGCAATCTGGCCCTAGAAAACCAGTCTGTGCTTAGACTTGATTGGAGCAAATTGTTCACTTGGAATTTCCCTTGCATTCTTTCCCCATTGTGTTCTATGGGCTCCCTGTCAAAGACAAGACGAGGCAGAATTAGTCAAAAGGTTATTAAATTGAGGAAGTACATCTTGTGACTGAGTGGTGGTTCAGCTAAATCTTGGTTGACAGTCAAAGTGATGAACTGTAGAGGAAAAACAAATGAGTAACTTTCCATATGTCTGTCACCAGTTGATATTCTAGTTTTACAAATTACATATTAAAATAATAGATGTATTCCGTATTTCCTCAGGGATATTTCCCCGAGTTTCAGTCCAGATGCGATCTGGTTCAAAAGTAGCTGGTACCAAACTCCTCAGCGGAATATTACTTATTAACTAACGTTCAGAGTGAACTCCATCTTAACGTCTGAATGGCCTTTAACCTAACGCAAACATCTTTAGCAGGCTCTTTCTTGCAGAGTTCAGGAAACAACAGTGAAATAAGGCTTTTCACTAAAACCAGCTAAGCAGTGTCCAACTCCTAACAGCTCTACAAACTCTGGTTGACAAAGTGTGTTTACTTTGAACAAGGTCCAGCTGCATTTAGCAAATATTGCTTTCTTACTAGCAAGTTCTTTCCTTGGCTTCATGTTATAGATCCATGTCAGGCTTGGACTTCAAAGTGAGATCATTATATGGCAAAGTGATATAAAATCCAGATCCACTCCCTCATGCATTAAGCAGGCTATCTCATGTATTATTTGTTATGTACTGAGTTGAATAGGATCCAAAAGGCAGCAGTCTGATAGGATTCAGAACAATAGGATCCAGAATGCAGCAGTCTGATTGGTCCACAGGAGCCACCCAATCCAATTCCAGGTGGAAGGGAATCCGCAACCTGATTGGCCTACAGGAGAATCCCGGAATTAGCCAATCACGTGGGGCCCATTGTGTAAATAATGTATATAAGGCAGACATTCTGGGGGAACTTCCATTCCTCCTCACCACTATGAGCTGAATGCTGTTGTTGTTGTTGTTTAGTCATGTCCGAATCTTCCTAACCCCATGGACCAGAGCACGCCAGGCACTCCTGTCTTCCACTGCCTCCCGCAGTTAGGTCAGACTCATGTTTGTAGCTTCGAGAACACTGTCCAACCATCTCGTCCTCTGTCGTCCCCTTCTCCTTGTGCTCTCCATCTTTCCCAGCATCAGGGTCTTTTCCAGGGAGTCTTCTCTTCTCATGAGGTGGCCAATGAGCTGAATGAGGTCAATGAGGTCAATGAGGTCAAAAAGGCCAATGAAGTGGCCAATGAGCTGAATAAAGAGCATGAAATCCACTCTCAACTCTGAGTATATTTCATTATTATTATTATTATTATTATTATGCATTTATGTATCTGTGTACATCTCTCCATCCTCCATCCTTTCTCCCCAGCCTGCTCCTTTTACCACCGCTATTCACAATTTAGAACCACTCACAAAAGTACTTTGTGGATTAAGGCTGTTGATGCACTCGGGACTAGCTAGTAAATGCCCACCCCAATAGATGTTCTGTAGTTCGAAATGAACCAATCTGAAAACGAGCCCAACTTATCTTTCACAGCCCACCTCTGATCAGAAAATGTAAGTGTATTTAGAGGGCAGGCAGTGCCATCAAACCACCTCCAACATTAAACAACAACAAAAACTTTTTCATCCTTATACTACAAAACTTCCGCAAGAAAAAACCACGCAGTGGGAGACAGCAGGCAACTCTCTGTCTGACTCTGAAACCATTAAACTGATTCCAAGGTTGACCTTGTTTATTAGCAGGTCAGAGAGTCCAGCAGGTTTATTTGGAGTCTGATAAATATTGCATTTCCGACTTCCCATTTTCCGCTCTATGCTATTCGATCACCTTTGAGGTACAGGTTTTCCTTACAAGACCTGAGATTACTGGAAAAGGTTACTGGGAAATATTTTCTCATTATTTTACCAAGGGCAGAGTACATTTTGCTTCTGTTCACGCACAAACAATAACTGAGAAAACTCTGTGCCAATGAAATCCCACCTGCAGTTTAGCAGCTAGCATACAATATTAATTGCTGAGGGGAAGAAAAATTAAATAAGCAACTGTCAAGTCCTCGTGATTGGGGTGGGAGGAATATACCGTATTTTTCGCTCTATAGGACGCAACCGACCATAGGACGCACATTGTTTTAGAGGGGGAGAACAAGAAAAAAAATTCTCCCCCTCTCTGCTCAGCACCCCTTCAGCGAAGCAGCAGGAGAAACAGAGACCCTTCCATTTCTCCTCCCGCTTCACTGAAGGGGGCGCTGCGCAGCTCTCCCTCTCTGCTGAAGCCAGGAGAGTCTTGCTCTCCCGGCTTAAGCAAAAGGAACCTGAAGCCTTCGGAACGCAGTGCGAGTTCCCGCTGCGCTCCAGAGGCTTCAGGCGGCTATCCCTGAAGCCTGGAGAGCGAGAGGGGTCGGTGCGCACTGACCCCTCTCGCCCTCCAGGCTTCAGTGAAAGCAACACATAGCCTCCGGAGCGTGGAGGGAGCGCTCCCTCTGCGCTTCCGAGGCTTCGCGTTGCTATCGCTGAAGCCAAGGAGCCTGCATTTGCCCCATAGGATGCACACACATTTCCCCTTAATTTTGGAGGGGGGAAAGTGCGTCCTATACAGCGAAAAATACGGTAATTGAACCTGGGCTGGCGGCATCTGCAAAAAACTCACTACTGTAGTCATGGCCAGG